ATTGGTGCTTATGGGCATGTCTTGAGTGGCCTGTTGGACTGTAAACTTTCTGGTTGAATTGTAGACCTCTGCACAATGCAAATATGCATTGAGTGAATAAACAAACAATTGTGAAAGCAGATACAGCCTGCTTCAACCAAAAGACTGAGAACCAGATTCCTAATCCCTGTGGAGCCTTTGTAGAGCCCTGCAAGCACCCTTCACTGTGGCATTGCCTGTGAGCACACAAACACTCTTGCTGACCTTCGTTCTGCATGGAGTGGAGATCTCTCAGTGCCTGTCCCTTCATTCACCTCTTGCTTCCTTCATCTCTTGCCTCCACTTTGCCACCCCCACCCCACCATGTTGTCCTCACCTCTGCTTCTGAAAAGTTTATTCATTCATTCATTGAAATAAGCTTTTTTTACATTTTTATTTATTATTTTTATTTTATGTGTATGCGTGCATTGCCTGCATGTAGGTAAGTGCACCCATGTCGTGCAGTGCCCTCGGAGGTCAGAAGAGACTGTCGGATCCCCTGGAACTGGAGTTATGGACAGTTGTTAGCTGCCATGTGGGTGCTGGGATTCGAACTCAGGTCTTCTGCAAGAACAACCAGTGTTCTTAACCGCTGTGTCATCTCTCCAGCCCCCTCATTAAAATAAGCTTTAATGTTGCTGAACACTAGACACTGCAAGGGTCTTCAAGGACTTTCTTGCTGCTCCTTGCAGGAGCATGATGGGCAGGTGAGCCATCACCTGAACCCACAGTAGTGTTTCCTTGCAGGAGGACGATGGGCAGGTGAGCCATCACCTGAACCCACAGTAGTGTTTCCTTGCAGGAGGACGATGGGCAGGTGAGCCATCACCTGAACCCACAGTAGTGTTTCCTTGCAGGAGGACGATGGGCAGGTGAGCCATCACCTGAACCCACAGTAGTGTTTCCTATCTGCTGCTGACAGCTACTGGTACCACAGGACACAGTAACCAGGAAAGAGTCCCAGATGTTAACCGGCACCTTCCCAGTGGTGGTGTCTCTGTAATGGGGCTGGAAGTATTGAGTTTTGACAGCAATTTGGAGAACAGTGTCACTAAGGCACATTGTCTGGGCAACACTTGGAAAAATCAGAGAACCTACAAAGGGAGGGGACATTCTTGACGGCCAGGCAAAGGGTTGGACGAAACCCTTTGGAAAGAGGCACTCTTCAAACACAGCTATACTCCTTCTTTCCCTTCCTTGCACTTGGAAGGGATCTGGTCAAGTTTGGGTCAGCAGTGGCCAACAAGCCAGCTCCCCACAATCAGACCCCAGTGCCCAGTTCAGTACCAGGCACGTAGAAGGAGCCCGACAGATGCTTGCCGAGTGAATAGATGATGCAGTCGCGTAATAACTTGTGTGGTGCTGCAGCTGCAGAGTTTGAGACCAGTCTGAATGAAGGGAGAAGTGCTGCTGTAACTCAGGAAGATCTGAATGGCCAGGGCACTGGCACTGGTGCCAGGTTCTGCCATCCCTGCTCTAAATCTGTATGAGACTGCATCTTGCTGCACCGCAGAGGGATAAAGCTGACTCTAGATGAGTTTTGGTGATCCGGTAGCACAACTTTGAGAAATCAAGACTCGTTCACTACCAAGGCCTCAGTTCCAGTGTGTTGCTGTTTTATACCGGACACCTGCCTGTTCTAGGGAAAGGTCCCAATGTGAACACCCCAAGGTCCTCATTTGGAAACTCTTTGAAATGGTTTTGAAATAGGAAAACTAAGCCTGTAGTGGCTTGTGGAGAACAGATGCTTGGAGGTGGTGGAGGAGGCTTCAGAAAGGGCCCACACTGGGTGCTGTTTACAGTGTCACGAAGAGTCATCAAGTTGTACCTCCCCCTCCCCCAGGACTAGTATACTTTTCAACGTGAATGCTGTCGTGATGGCAGAAGGAAAGAAGGAAGGAGGGAAGGAAGGAAAGAAAGGGAGGGAGGGAGAAAGGAAAGGAAGGAAGGGAGGAAGGAAGGAAGGAAGGGAAGGGAGGGAGGGAGGGAGGAAAGGAAGGAAAGGAAGGAAGGAAGGAAGGCCTTTGAGAGAGTTATAAATGATGAAGCCAGAGGAGATCTTTAGGCAGAGCAGCTGGGGTCAGGATTAGTCTAACGAGTTGCAATTCTATGCACTCCCAGAAGGTGGCAGAGGTGCTTGCATTGGTAAAATTCATAATTTTTTTTTAACTTTTAAGTCTTTTTCCCCACCAGATAGGGTCATGCTGTATAGCCCAGGCTGGCCTTAAATTCAAGGTCTTTCTGCCTCCGATTCTGAATGGCTGGGTTACAAGTATGCAACACTATGCCAAGTCCCCTGAGTCTTAATACTGCTAATTTTGATCACTCTAGACATGTTTTTTCTAGGTGCTGGGTGTTGAATCCAGGGCCTTGTGTGTGGTAAGCATGTGCGTACCACTCATTCACACCCCCAGTCCCCTGTATTTCTCTTAAGAGTGACCCCCATCCCAGTGCTTACAGCCAAAAGAGTGGGAAAATCTCAAACCCTGTTGAATGGATGCTGGCACCTGAGCAAATTGAATCTGACACTGAGCAGCACTGAACAAGCGCAAGATGAACGTGTGCTAAAAACACCCAACTAGGAATGCACAGATCAGCGCCATGGAGCTCAGTAGAGCTACCTGTGGGTATTGAGGGACAATGTCCCTTCTTTGTAGGATACTAGCTTAATTTGCTGTGTGATCTTCAACATGTCTACATACAGCCTCTCCCTTCTCCTGCTCAGTCAGTAAAAAGTAGCCATGTATGCTTTCTTCTGGTTTAAATTTTCTCTTGTATCATTTTTAATAAGTTTAAAGTCCAGGGGCGGGCATGGTGGCACATGCCTTTAATCCCAGCACTCAGGAGGCAGAGGCAGGCAGATCTCTGTGAGTTCAAGGCCAGCCTGGTCTACATAGTGAGTTCCAGGACAGCTGGGGCTACAGGGAGACCGTCTCAAAAAAGACCAAAAATAAATAAGTTTAAAGTCCAGGTACACTGAAAATTGGCTGGAAGGCAAGGGTGGCTCGGGCTGAGCAGCAACCTGTATTGTTTCTCATCCCCTATCGCACCATCCATCCAGCTGTCATCTCTTTGTCCATGAAATGAACGTTTTGATTTTATTTCTTTTAGTTTATGAGTGTTTTGCCTGCATATCATACAATGCCTGTGGCTGCCAGAAGAGGGCGTCAGATTCCCTGGAACTGGAGTTATGGTTGCTAGCCTCCTCGTTGGTGCTGGGAATTGAACCTGGGTCCTGTGCAATGGCAGCCAGCGCTCTTAACTGCTAAATCACCTCTCCAGCCCTGAAGTGAACATTTTAAAGGAGACTGCTATCAGCCAGGCTCAATGCCCGGTGCTGGGGACAATGGGAAGAATAAGAGAATGGTCCTTGCTATGAGGGGCTAAAGCAGGGGATGGGCAGTTTGTATGTGTAATTACACAACAGCCTGGTCATGTGCTTCTTACGAGGTTATACTAGATGCTATGGATAAAAGGAAGGGCTCCGAGTTGTGTGCAGGGGGATGGTGTGCAAAGGTCAGGGAAGCCAGCTAAGGAATAGACTAACTAAGCTCAGAGCTGAAGGGAGAATGCGAGTCTCCCAGGAACATGGAGTCCTGAGGAACATGAACCACGTGTCCTTGTGTATAGCCTCTGTGTGGAGTAAGTTCGTTTAAGTACCAGAGAAGCAGCCAGGAAGGATGGATGGTAGACAAGGCTTGTGCTCCACGTGTGGAGTGCAGTGTCTGAGCTCCCTGAGAAGGCCCCATGCCCCGTGGTGCAGTGCAGTGCCCTGAGCTCCATAAGCCATACTGCATGTGTGGAGTATGGAGCTCTGAGCTCAGAGAGCTGTGTTCCATGTGTGCATTGCTGTGAACTCCCTGAGCTGTGTTCCATGTGTGCAGTTCTGTGAACTCCCTGAGCTGTGTTCCATGTGTGCAGTGCTCTTGAGTTCTCTGAGCTGTTGCTGGGCTCTGAGCTCCTTGAGGTAGTTGTATTAACTGACTTGCTTCCCGTGAAGAGCCAGGAAAATGCAGAGCTGGCTGTGAGGCCTGAGGACACAGGGTTCTTCCTGGTACCTGGACTAGCCTTGCTAAAGGACAGAACTAGTCACAGTGCCTTTCTGTCATTTGTGTCACTGTGTGAAATTCAGTTGCTTTTCATATGCTATGTAACTAGCTTGCTTTTAGGGAATCTTGGTGCAGATGTGAACTATGGCACAAATGACATCATTCTGCCATTTATGACTTTGCCAGTGGGACTTTGTAGGATTTTGACTTACCTATGGAAGACACAGAAGTGTTATGATTCCAAAGTTTATTAAGAACTGAGCATGGTGGCTGTAATCCTAAACCTCAGGAGACTGAGACAGAAAGATTGCTTTGAATTTGAGGCCAACCTGAGCCACATGAGGGAGGTCTTTATGTGTAATCACGACAGCCTGGTCACATGCTTCCCAGCAGGGTATACTAGGTGCTGTGGACACAAAGGAGTTTAGGGCCAGTCTGGGCTACATGAGTTTGAGGCTATCCTGGGATATAGAGCGAGACCCTGTCTGAAAAAAAACAAAAAATTATGAAGATATCCTTTTGAGCTGATCACTTCTGTGTACATGTACGGTAATCTCTTCCACCGCATGCTTGTTGAGCTGTGTGATGTCAGCTGATGTGTTCACATTAATTTCTAAAACAACGTACAGCTTTTCCATTTGGCAGACTCACACCCAGAGCAAGCAAGTGGCTTTTGTGACTCACAGACAGGCAGAACTGAGGTGTGCGCCAGGCCTTCTAGATCTGAGGCCTGCTCTCTTTCCACTACACCTCAGGGGAGAGTGGACCTGTAGTTAAACTTGGCTGCTATGACATAAAGTTATTACCACTTCCAAGGAGCCCACTTTGCCAATGGCCTGCGCTGCCATTCAGCGGGTGTGGTTTATGGTGTTGAGTTCTGGATGCCTTGTATCCCTGCTGTTACACCCTTCTTTTTCCATCATCCTTCCTCAGGGAGCCTTTCTATAAGCTGCTGGCCCACGGCCTCATCAAGGGGCAGACATTCCGCCTGCCATCTGGTCAATGTCTGCAGAGGGAGGATGTGGACTTCACAGGTAAGGGGGGGAGCGCAGGGCAGGTAAGAACGAAGACCAGGTCCTGAGGCTCTTGAGGAGCTCACATCTGCTGCTAGACCCTGGCCGGGTGCATGATCCAGGACAGGTCCTGGCCAGGCCTCTACAAGCTGCTCCTAGGACTGGCTATCCTCTCACACCCAGTCCCATCCTGTTAATGCCTCATTTCAGCCTCTGGCAGGTCTGCCTATATAACATAGAGTTTGCTTGGGCATCTGCCAAGCCCTCTCCTGGACTAGCCCTATTTTTAGTCCTTCACAGGACAGAGCCTCAGATCCAGAACTTGGACTCTCCTAGTATCTCTTCCTACAAGGCGCAGCAGCTCAATTCAGAATGTAGGACCTCTACTGTGTATGCTTCCTTGACACCCTGGAGCAGCCCTGGTTCTCTCTTCTGTTTCCCTGGCCTGCTCCATTCTGAATCACTATTCCCACATATTCTTTTGGCATCTAGGTCCTGTTCCTGTTCATGCAAAAACAAAAGATAAGTTAGAGGTGACATGGGAGAAGATGAGCAAGTCCAAGCACAATGGGGTAGACCCAGAGGAGGTTGTGGCACAGTATGGGATTGACACAGTCCGGCTCTACATCCTCTTCGCAGCCCCTCCCGAGAAGGACATCTTGTGGGATGTAAAGAGTGAGTCGCCTTCCCCCTCCTGCCTGCTCCTGTGCAATCTACCTTGGGCTCTGAAGGAACTGGGGAAGGAAATGTCTTTGCTGGAGATAGTTATGGAGAATTCTAGGAGTCAGCTTGCCCAGGCTCCTGTCCCTCTGCAGGACCAGTGCTCTTCAACACTCAGGGGCCTCAGGGCCCTTTGGAGCCCCACTGCACGTGTACATTCCCAGTTCTTACCTGCTGGCAATGGGGCCCTGGGATCCAGCCTGGAGGCTCTGTGCTGAGTCTAATGCCAGGTCTCCAGGGACCACACCTGGACAGCTGTTTCCTTGGAGGACAACCACCTTCTGTGCTGTTCTTGGGCCTGCTGAGTTGTAGAAGCCATTCTCCTATCCATGTTCTCTGAAAGGATCCTCTTCTGACACCAAGTCTGGGCCTGGGCCCTGGGATCACCTGCAGCCTCTCAGCCATCCCCATCCAGCTCCTGCTCCCTTGGGAGATTTGTCTCTCCAAAGCTGTTTGGATCTAAGAGAAGCTAAGGGAGGGAGAATAAGCTCAGGCACCTGTCTGCCCTATGATGAGAGTCCATGTACTTTCATTTGTCTCCGTGGTCTGTTTGGACATCACTGTGGAACGAAAAAGCCAGTGCCTATAACCTTGTACACTGTGGGAAGCATCTTTGTTATCTCAGGAATGACTGGTTTTCTCTCCATGTCTGGTGGCAGTGGGCTGGACAGTTGTGACATGCCAGCCCTAACACAAGCTGCCTCAGAATAACAGAGGCAGGACACGCAGGCACCAACTCAGCTTCCTCCTGTCGGTGCAGGGCAGGTCCCCACATCTGCTTCTCACAAAGCCTCCAGCAGGCCCTGCTGTGCGCCCACTCTTGAGAACACCCAGCCTAGTGGCCACAGGGTCCAGACACTTGGACTGGTGCTCATTTGGTCAGCCGTGTGGTCCAAGACCACCAAGTGGGCTATTCCACTTCCCCAGGTCAGAGTAGCAGTTAGACCTGGTGATCGCGTTTGGAATACATAACACACTCCTGGCAAGGTCAGGGGTTGTGAGCTGACCACATGTGCCACAGGGCTGTTCCTAAGCATGGTATGCAGACCCTGCTACTGTTACCTGTCCTCACAAGATCCCAGCTTCCCTAGTACTGGGCAACTGTCTTCAGTACCCTGTTGACCCCAGGGCATGTCTGTCACAGTAAGTTTGCTACTGCCCATGCTAGGAACATTGGGGTACCAGGAGTCAGGGAGGACCATAGGACACATGGAGTGACTCAGGGATTTCTCAGTTCCTTCTCAGTACTTTCTGTCTCTCTCTGTCTCTCTCTCACTATAGCCGATGCACTCCCTGGAGTGCTCAGATGGCAGCAGCGGCTGTGGTCCCTGGTAACGAGATTCATCAAGGCTAGGACTTCTGGGACAGCCCCCCAACCTCAGCTACTGAGCAACAAGGAGAAAGCTGAGGCCTGCAGCCTCTGGAAGTACAAGAATTCAGTCATCACTCAGGTCAGAATCCAGGAACCTGGGGCAGGAACTTTTGCCCAGTGGGCTTTGTGGCCCACCTGCTCTGAGGGTCACTGTGGGTCCCCTTCCTTCATTGTGAGGTAACCCTGCTGCCTTGATTAGTTGCTCTTACTGCTTCGGCTATTTACCAAGACTTCCTAATGGAAAGAGATGCTCTTGAAAAATGACTGTCCCTTATCCCCTGTCACCTCCTTCCACGTGGACTTCAGGAAGCCCCCCACTTCCCGTGTCTCCATACCTGACTGGCAAGTAGAACCAACCCAGGATCTCTCTGACACACTGCACATTGCATTAACAGAACTGTAGCATTGAAAGAGGCAGAAGTTGCCGTAAAATATCTTCCTGTGTTGTAGATGGTCAGAGAGGTTAAATGTCTTGCAGAAAGTCCCACAGCCAGTGAGAAACTTGGCAGAGTGTGGCAGGGGTCCACATTCCCTGGCACTCACCAGGCCCCTCCACATGCTGCTGTAGACATGTGTCCATAGAACCTGCTTAATTTTCCCAAACCTGAAGTCATTTTTAACCCCAAATTATTCTTAGGCTAGTTTTCTTTCCCACTATGATGTGCTAGTTTGGGGCTGGGGGTGCAACTCAGTGGCAGAACACTTGCCTAGCATATGCCAGGCCCTGGGTTCTATCCCGCCACTAAAAAGAAAAGGCTATGCCAATTCAAGACTGTGAAGTCATCCAAGGTCATTTCTTCTCTGGTTTGTGTGACCCATGCAGCCCTGGGTCCAGCATGGTCGCATCTAATGACATATCTTCAACTTCATTTCCGGCCTCTGTGTAGGAGTCACCGAGGTGAATTTGGGGATCTGAGTGGTGCCAAGCAGTTACTTTCTGGAGCTGACTGATTATTCTTTAGGATGAAAGGCTGTTTCAACAGCCTTAACTCTTGACATCTTAAAGGTGTCATTTTTCTATATTCTTGCTCACGGTTGGGCCTGAAATGTGAACGTGTGGAAAAGCTGATGAGTCATTTGTGTTCTTCTGTTGGCTCTTCACCTGAATGCAAAGCTGGCCTCCTCATAGGCGAGCTGCCCTCGCCCTGCACCTGTGAGCAAAGCTGGCCTTATACCCTGTGAGTTTAAGTCATAGCCAAGGAGAGGCAACATCCCTTCCCTCACCTCCTATTCTCTGTTGTTTCGTTTATTCTTTTTATTTTTTATGCATATATGTCACTGTACTCTGCTTATATCCCCCAGCACCCTTTCTCCTTCATTCCCCCTAACAAGTCTCCCTTGCATTTCCATGTCATATGTACACACAGACACAGACACACACAGACAGACAGACAGACAGACAGACACACACACACACACACACACACACACAGAAATCTAGGTTCTGCAAATGAATGACTATGTAAGATACTGTCTTTCCCTTACCTTCCCTCATTGGGCCTCCCCTCGTTCTCTGTGTAGGTCCCTACCTCTCCCCTCATAGTCCTTCTTTCATGGGATACAATTCAGAGAGATAGATGATTGATAGATAGATAGATAGATAGATAGATAGATAGATAGATAGATGCCATGTTTGAAAAAAATGTGCATTTTGTCCTTCTGAACTTGGATTATTTCACACAGTATAATGATTTCCAGTTCTATCCATTTTCCTGCAAATGACATAATTGTATTCTTTACTGAGGTAAAACTCCCTTGTGATGCAGACACCACATTTTCTCTCTTGCAGTGGTGGGCCTGAGCCCAGGGTCCCCCTTATGCTTCACACTGAGCTATACCATCTGCCTCTCATCTTCCTATCCACCATTGACATCAGCAGCTCCTGCCTCCTACACAAGCAGCTAGCATTGTTTTCTTAAACATCTGCTATGGGAACCAGTGGTCTCAGTTATGTGGAAGAGAGACAGTCTTAAGTATGGAAAGAGCATTGACTTTGAATTTAAAAGTCTGTGCTCATGGGGATGGAGAGATGGCTCAGTGGTTAAGAGCACTGGCTGCTCTTGCAGAGGACCTGGGTTTAATTTTCAGCACCTACATGGCAGCTAACAACCATCTGTAACTCCAGTTCCAGGGAGGGTCCAACACCCTTTTCTGACCTCCTTGGGCATTGCACAACATGGGTACACCTACCTACATGCAAGCAATATACTCATACACATAAAAATAATAAAATATATTTTTTAAAAGTCTGTGGTCATGGGCTGGAGAGATGGCTCAGCAGTTAAGAGCAGTGACTGCTCTTGCAGAGGACCCAGGTTCAATTCCCAGCACCTACATGGTGGCCAACAGCTGTCCATAACTCTAGTTTCAGGGAATCTGACACCATCTTCTGACCTCCATGGGCATTGCACTACATGGATGCACTTTCATGCATGCAGGTAATACGCTCATACACATAAAGTAAAAATAACAAAATATTTGAAGGGGCAAACAAAGTCTGTGCTCATGAAATGTAGCCATTATTCAAGACAGTAAATATATTGATAAATATTTCTCTGTATTCTGTTAGCTTCATTTTTTTTTGCTTTTCTTCTGGAAACCTAAAAGGAATTTTGAAGAAAGTAAATAACTCGGTTTTTACTAACAGGTGACCACCCATTTCACAGAGGACTTCGCACTGAATTCCGTTGTTTCTCAGCTGATGGGACTCAGCGGCACCCTCCTGGTGAGTGTCTGGGCCTCACTAAGCAGCCGAGGGTGGGTGAGAAGTTTTGTACAGGGCCACTGGCTCTGTTGTCTTAAAGAAACATTTCTTCCTTTAAGTATAATCTTGTTGGGGCTGGAGAGATGGCTCAGTGTTAAGAACACTGGTTCTTCTTTCAGAAGACCCAGGTTTGAATCCCAGCACCCACATGGCAGCTAACAGCTGTCCATAACTCCAGTCCCAGGGGGTCCGACACCCTCTTCTGACCTCTGTGGGCATTGCATGACACTGGTGCACTTACCTACATGCAGGCAATACACGCTTACACATAAAATAAAAGTAATAAATAAAAAAAAATTTTAACGTATGATCTTGTGCAGTTTCAAGGCTTTAAAGGTTGTCTGAGCAAACCCTTTTCTTTTGAGTCAGGATCTCAAAAACAGGCTGGCTTTAAACTTTTGATGATCTTTCTGCCTTTGCCTCCTGAGTGCTGGTATTACATACATGAGCTGACATGTCTGGCTTCAGACTCCTTTCTTCCCCATTGTCTTGTAAGAGAACTTTGAGGCCAAGGAGGTTAGGTGCCATGTCTGGCTGAGAAGTGACAAAGCCTGGGCCATACTGGCCCCTGCCGTTTCTGGCCTTCACCCGCCACTGCCTGGTTTCTTGGGTGTATCAGATGTTTCTTTGGCATCGTTAGTGTTTATATTCCTTTAGCCTAGATGGAGCAAGTTGCTCCCGCTGAACCAGAAACTAACCTTTTCTGTGCCTCTAGTCTTGCTGCAGAGGACTCGCATTTTTCTTGCCAAAAGAAGAATTTGTCAATAATCTGGGTTAGTACTGGGCAACGAGACAAGCACTAAAACTATTACAAGTGCTTTTTGAAATGAAAGCCTCTCCAGGCTTTTAAAAACAATAGAAGAGGGGTCGGGTATATCTTGGTGGTGGAGTACAGGTTTGCTATGTATGGGGGCCCTAAGTTAAATTCCCACCACCAATTGGAAAAAGAAGAAAGGTTATTAGATTTGAGTACTTAAAACTGGATTTTTAAAAATTTATTTATTTAGGGTTTTGTTTATATTTGGAGACAGGGTCTTGTTCTATATCCCAAGCTGGTCTCAAACTAAAGGTCTCACAAGTGCTGGGATTACAGCTGTGTACCACCAGGCCCAACAAGCTTGATGTTTTTTAGCATATTGAAATGCCCCAGAGTAAAAGAAAGGTAAAAGTCTGGGGAAACACAACAAATACATAGGCAAAATATTAATATCCTTAATATATAAAGAGCTTTTCTCTACTCCTTCATCCCATTCCCTCCCCAGAAAACACCACCTGGTAGGTGGGAAGTCTGGAGGCCCCAGGGTCCAGACTTGCTGGGCCAAGGCCAGGGACTCATGGAAGCGGGCCAAAAACAAGGAGTGTATCCCCATCACCAAGCTAGGCCACCTGGTCCAACACATGAAGGTCAGGTCTTGAAGAACACATTTTGAGTCTGGGATTATCAACTTTTCCCAGGAGTTTTGCAAGCATGAGCTTATAATGATCATATAGATCTTGCCCCTGCCAAAGCAAATACTCGCACTGGCTGGAAGACCAGATGAAAACACTTGTTGCCGTCAGGGGTGCAGCAATCATGCTGGTCTAGGTGACTGAAAGCCTGCCTAGGGCAGGACTCTGGAGAGGCTGGGTGACTGGTGAGCCCCACCTCAGGAGAGCCTGTTGACAATTACTTGCAAAGAAGTTTAAGAGGATGAATATCTCTGAGATCCCTGAGGAAATGGAGAGTGGCCACCCCCCCACCCCACCCCACCCGCCCTGGGGTTCCATGGTAGAAAACCTTGGGAGACAGGTCTCTATATTTCCCCTGGGCCACAACACTTAGGAAACCTAGCAGAATGCTTACGAGTTTGACTGACCTGTGCCTAGAGCAGATTTTCCTCCCTTGTTGAGGCTTAGCCTCTTCCTATCAGCTCTGAGAACTGAGCCAACATCCAGCAGAGGGCAAGGTAAACACTCAGAGTAGCACTGTGTGTGTTGCAGCCACTACAGCTCTCTGTTGTGCTATGGTTCTGGGAGGGAAGTCCTTCATCCTGAACAAAGGCAGCAAAGAGGATTTCTCCCACCTGCTGGGCCTCTGGACTCCAGTTCACCTTGGCCAGTCTCACCCCTGCTTATTTTGTACCTCAGCCTTAAATGTTCTCTTCTCTTCTTTAGCAAGCCTCTCAGAAGGTCGTTCTCCACAGCCCCGAGTTCGAGGATGCTCTGTGTACCCTGCTGGTGATGACTGCCCCAATGGCCCCGCACATAACCTCGGAACTCTGGGCAGGTATAAGGGAGGGTCCTTGACTAACCTCCAATACTGACTAGCATTGGCCCGAGCCTCTCCTTATATATTATTTGGAGCTCAGATTTCTCAGGCATGGGGTCCTTTTTTGTCTCACTGCTCCCCCTTCCTTATAGTCACAAAGACATGCCCCCACTTTGAAGTACTAGGCCCAGGACAAAGTGAATATTGAAGTCACCACAAGACATTCCTTCAGTGACTCAGCTTCCCAGTATCCACATACTTTGACTTTGTATGGTTTTTTTTTTCATATTTAGAGTAATATTAAGGCCATATTGAAGGTTGAGACGTTGTATGTTTTTTTTAAAGATAGAAATTTGTTTGGTCCCACAGCTGTTGGCCTCCAGAGAATCCGGTGTAACATAGGTTCTCAGAATTCAGATGGGCCCAGCATATAGGAACAGGCAAAGGGACATGCAACTGAGCTCCTGTAGGGTCATTCATAGGTGTCTCCATACATTCTAGAGTGATCCATCTGAAAGGCATTGAATGTAGCAGTTTCACTTACATAGAAGTTCTTTCCTAATCAAATTTACTGATGCGGCTTTCCAAGCATGCACAAGACCATGCGTTTGATTTCCCCTGCACCACGAGAAGATATATGTAAAAAATTTGCTGATGTGACACTGAGAAGAAGACACGCATGTTAAGCAGGGAGGAGGGCAAGTCACAGTGCAGGCTGCATGACGAGAGCTTGAGAGTTGGAATTTTCTACCACCGGAGTGGTTCAGAGGAGTTGTAGTGGGGCTTATGCTTGGCAGAGCTGTGGGCGTCTGTCACAGAAGTTGTTTGCCTCCACTTGAGAGGCTGTGTCCTTGGTGACCTAAGAGTCCTGGAAACCAGGCACAGCCTTCCTCCTGGGATCTGTTTCATGGTTCTCCATGAGGAGGTGGAAGGCCTCACTCCTGGTTTTCCCAGTGTCCTCATTCTTATAGCATCAACAAGTGTCTCAGTCAGAGGGAGAGTGATCTTCATCCCTGGAAGAGGAGGGCCTGTTTAGCTGCTCTGTGTGTGTGTGTGTGTGTGTGTGCGCGCGCGCGCACTCGCGCATGCACAAACACACAGGCTTGGTCATATGTATGGATGTAGGCACACATGTGGAGGTCAGAGGACAACCTTTGTGTGTCAGTACTCATCTTTCCCCCTTGTTCAAGACAGGATCTCTTCACCACTGTGTAAGCCAGGCTTGCTGGCCTGGGAGCTTCTAGAGATTCTCCTGACTCTGCCTCCCATCTCCTAGTAGGGTGCACTGGGATCACAGATAGTACTTTTGCCACTGCATCCAGCTTTTGCATGGGTTCTGGGGATTCAAACTCACATCATCAGACTTGTGGACAAGCACTTTGTTCACTCAGCCATCTTTTCAGGCTCAGCTATTTTCATTATAAACCCATCAACTTAGTTCAGATTTGGTCTGTTTTAGTATCCAAAGCCACTTCCAAATGTTCAGCCAAACACTGCAGCTCCCATTTACTGGCCCCTCTGATAGTTTTTGTTTGTTTGTTGTTGTTGGTTTCTGGTACTAGAGATTGAGTTCAGGGCCTTGTGCATGCTGAGTGTGTGTTCTACTACTGAGCCACACCCCAGACTCTGATGGTATATTTATGCCATGTGGATGTTATTTCAAAATCACATCAGTAAAACTGTTTCTCTGGGAAAGGTCAAAGTGAAGTAGCCTTGCTTCCTGTTCATTTTCTTGGAATTGTCAGGGCTGGTATAAGCACAGGATCAGCTAACACAGGTCCCAGGCCCTCTTGGAGTATTTGTGGGGGTCAGCTAGCACAGAGCCCCACCCTTCTAGGATCTCTGCAGGCAGAGGATAGGGAGATGATGGTAGAGACCACCAGGGGAAGCTGCCCACAGAAGTCACGACACCCCCACCCCCAGGTGCTCTCTACAGGACACCAAGGTGGAGTGGCATCCTCACCAGTGCTGGGGGCTGGAAGGAGGCTTGTTTTTGTTTTCTGAAGGAAGGTCAGCTCTCCAGAGGTAAGGAGAGGAAAGCAGCTGGCGCTGCAAGAGCCAGGGCCTTGCCACTCCCTCCTGCATTCAGACTTACTCCATGTGCTCCCCAAAGCCAGATCACTGCATGACTGTCACCCTGGTTCTGTCATGGAAATAAGCCACTGTGTTTGTCATGAGTGTGTTAGGTGTTTTCATTCATTCAAAAGAGCAGCGAGGCAAAAACCTGAACATGAGCAGGTCCTGAGCACCACCCCTCATGGCCAAACAGCATGGCCCTCTGTCCATGGAAAGCCTGTCTGGGCCCCATGCCTATAAATAAGCATCTGATTGCTCCAGGAAGGCTGGGCTTCCTCATTTTTTTTTTTTTTCAAAGTGGAATTTATAACAACTTCTGCCCAGAGCATTTGCATCCAAGGTCCTTTCATCTCCCAGGCATCCTGTACAACTTCCATATGGAGGTTTGGAAACCTTTCCACTACAGCTGGGTCACAGGACAAGCCACCCCATGCCAACTCGGCACATAAAGACATGATTATCTGCTTTCTGTGACCTCCATCTCACATTTGGAGGAGGAAGAAGCAGGAATTTCTTCTACATTTGTCATAAGGCAATCTGTCCATTAAGTCCATTGAGAAGTGCAACAGCTCAAAGGAGCCAGCTGGAGGATACCAGGAGGAGATTGTTTCTTGTGTAACACTTGATCCTCAGGCCCCAAGGAACCTTTACTTCCCTCCCGAAGGCAGGCAACACAGGATCATCAGGGTGTCAGATAGGAAAACTTAAAAACCTACAACAAATGAGTCTGGTACCCACACAAGAATCAAAGCAGAAATCCGACAGAATAGAATACACCAGCACACGGGTGTGGTGGCACACACCTTTGATCCCAGCACTTGGGAGGCAGAGTTAGGTGGATCTCTGTGAGTTCCAGGCCAGCCTGGTCTACATAGAGTTCCAGGCCAGCTGAGGCTACAGGGAGACCCTATCTCAAAAAGACAAAAAGGAAAAAAGACACTGACAAAAGAATACACCAGCACTACTCAGTGGCTGGTCCACAATCCCTGGCTTACCTGAGGACTGTCAGTTCCAGTCCATGAGAAGATGGGGAGCTTATGCTGGGCATAAACTAGCTGTTACCAAGCACATGGTTGGACAGGGCTGACCATGTGTGTTTGCAGTGCTGGTGATCAGACCCAAGACATTGTACATGCTGGTAAACATTCTATGTCTTAGCTGTATCCCCAGGCCTTTTGGTTTGGTTTGGTTTGGTTTGGTCTTTTTTTTTTTTTTTTTTCGGTCTATTTTTGAGATAGGGTCTTTCTGTAGCCCCAGCTGGCCTGGAAGTCACTATGTAGACCAGGCTGACCTTGAACTTGTAGAGACCTGCCTGCCTCTACAACCCCCACCACCACCACCATCCCCACCCCTCACCTCTGCGTGCTGGGATTAAAGGTGTGTGCCACCACACCTGGCATTTTTTTGTTTTAACTAAGACTTTTTCAGTAAAGGAAGTAGTGTGTACTGATTCACATTCTAGCCCAAGGCCTCTGCCTCCTTGCACACACACTCAATAGCTCTGAAGTCAGTTGGCCAGAAACAATCTATGGTATAATATATGTTGAAGGAAAAGCCACAAAGCAATAAGGAAAGGAAGATTTATTCAACAAACTAGGTTTGGAAAGTTGGCCATGTACTTTTTCTTTTTGGTCTTTTTTTTATTATTATTTAATGTGTATGGGTATATTACTTGCATGTAGGTAGGTAGGTACACCTGTGTCATTCAATGCCATGGAGGTCAGAAGAGGATGTCAGATCCCCTGGAACTGGAGTTACAAATCGTTGTTAGCCACCACGTGGGTGTTGGAAATCAAACCTGGGTCCTCTGCAAGAGCAGTCAGTGCTCTTAACTGCTGAGCCATCTCCATCCCCTTTTTTGGTCTTTTTTGAGGTAAAGTCTCCCTGTAGCCCCAGCTGGTCTAGAACTCACTATGTAGACCAGCAAGCTGGCCTTGAACTCCCAGAGATCCACCAGCCTCTGCCTCCCAAGTGCTAGGATTAAAGGCATGCACCATCATGCCATCACACCTGGCCAGGCCATGTACATGCCCAGCTATGTACTTTTTAAAATAATGATTTTCCACATTATAAACAAATTATGCCAGGCATGGTGGCACACACCTGTAGTCCCAGCACTCAGGAGGCAGAGGCAGGTAGATCTCTGTGAGTTTGAGGCCAGCCTGGTCTACATAGCGAGTTCTAGACCAGCTGGGGCTACAGGGAGACCCTTTCTCAAGCAAGGATTTTGTTTCTAGATTAGTAGTTAGTTGAACTGATAAGCCTTAAAAAAGTCTTTTAAAAAAAAAAAAAAAAAAAAAATACAAATAACTACCCAACTTGAAAGGTAAGTAGAGAAGAAAATGAAACCTTTTAAAAAAAGAAGAAAATTGAACTGAACTCACAGTGTGGAAAAACTTTACACTTAAATATCCTTTCAAATTATGAAAGGGCTAGAGTGTAGCTTGGTGATAGAGTGCTTGCCTAGCATGTGCAAATCCCTGTGTTCATCCCCAGCTCAACTGTAATACATATATACAAACATACACACACATGCATGTATGTATGTGTAAAAGTAATAGATGTCCCTTGTGGAAAACCCTGTAAAATATTGTTTAAAAAAGAAAAAGAGATAGGACCAGGCATGGTGGTATGCACCTTTAATCCCTGCACTCAGGAAGCAGAGACAGATGGATCTCTGTGAGACTGAGCCCAGCCTTGTCTACATAGCAAATAGCAAGTTCCAGGCCAACTGGGACTATAGGGAGACTCTGTCTCAAAAAAAAGAGGGTCTGGGGGTGCAGCTCTGTAGTAGAGCATGTGCTTAGCATGCTGGTGGCCCTCGGTTCCCTTCTTAGCCCTAAAAAACAAAAGGAAGAACAGCCCTGACACTATCTAGAGAAGAAGACTGGAAAGCTACCTCACTGCCCTTGTGTGGCCCACAGTAAGCCAAGGACCCACTCCTGAAGAACCCTTCAGGTAGGGATGTGCCATGGGTGAGGGTGGTAAGCTCCCTGGAGGACTGAGAGCAGCCTGCAGTCCACTGTACTCTGATTATATGGGAAAGAACGGGGTAGAAGATTCTCAGACCATAGGAACTCATGGGCAAGAGAGGCAGTAAAGGCAGTGAGTACTTGAGGGCCATTCTCAGGCAGGCATTCCTTCCCCAAATGGAGGGTTGACCCCAGAAAGTTGGCAGCCTTACTTTTCCAAACACTGAGTTCCAAGCACAGTGACCATCCATCCACACAGCCCAGCATGCTGTTTGCAGAAAGGCTGCCTGAAACCTGGGCTCACAGACCAGATGTGGGAAGTGGTCAGCCCCTGCCTATACACTATTTGATCCTCAGACCCTGCGGAGCTTCTTTTTTCTCCCAGTGACCAGCCATGCAGAGTCACAAATGGGTCAAAAGGAAAAGTTTAAAAACAGAACAAAACAAATAGCCTACAACAAATCTCTGATACTGGCACAATCATGACAGAGGCCAACAGAATAGAATGCACCATTGCTAATTAGAGTGGATGGCCCACAGTCCCAAACTGGCCGTGGGAAGAGCAATGCCGTGGCATCCCTGGCCTCCTCAAATAGCTCCAGGCCACAGGCAAAGCTTTGCATCCTGTTCATGAACCCTCATGCACTCAGGTGGCCTGACCTTCTGTGTCTTGGTGTTGCAGGCCTGGCGCTGGTACCAAGCAAGCTCTGTAGCCACTATATCTGGGAAAAAGGTGTGATGCTTCAGACCTGGCCTACTGTGGATCCACAGTTCCTTCAGCAGCCGGATGTGGTGCAGATGGCCGTTCTGGTAAGTATAACCAAAGCTCTAGAGCCAGGTGGTGGTCTGCAGAAGTCCCTGTCCTGCCAATGGCCCATCAGTAGCCCAGCCAACCCTTCTTTCTGACCAAGCACACAACAGAGAGGGCTGCCTTTCCTTCCCTGTTCCTCCAGCACACCCCAGTAGCTTGTGAGCCTCAACTCTCAAGGATTGGAAGATTGGAAAGGGGAAACAGCAGTCTGACCTGCTTCACTGACTCCAGCTCTGTTCAGGGGGCCCAAGGTCTAGGTGGGTCTAGAGGGTGTGGGCACATAGAGAGTGACAGGCAGCTACCAGTAAAGAATGCTTTGTCAGCCAGGTGTCTTGGTGCACATTTAATCACAACAGAAGCAGGCAGATCTCTGTGAATTCGAGGCCAACATGGTCTATATACTGAGTTCTAGGGCAGCTGGAACCCGCTGTCTAAAAAAAAACAAAACAGGGCCAGGCATAGTGGCACATGTCTTTAATCCCAGCACTTGGGAGGCAGAGACAGGCTGATCTCTGTGAGATCAAGACCAACTCGGTCTACATAAGTTCCAGGCCAGCTGGGGCTATGTGAAGACCCTGTCTTTAAAAAAAAAAAAAGTACTTCGGCCGGGTGTGGTGGCGTACACCTTTAATCCCAGCGCTTGAGAGGAAGAGGCAGGTGGATCTCTCTGAGTTCAGGGCCAGCCTGGTCAACATAGTGAGTTCCGGAACAGCTGGGGCTACAGGGAGACCCTGTCTCAAAAAGACCAAAAAAAAAAAAGTGCTTCTAGCTGGGCGTGGTGGCACACACCTTTAGTCCCAGCACTTGGAAGGCAGAGGCAAGCAGATCTTTGTGAGTTCGAAGCCAGTCTGGTCTACATAGTGAGTTCCAGGCCAGCTGGGGCTATAGGGAGACCCTGTCTCAAAAAGACATTTAAAAAAAAAAATGCTTCTGTCAAATATATTCAGAAAAGGGACTAGCGGTTAAGAGCATTGGCTGCTCTTGCAGAGGACCCGAGTTCGGTTTCCAACACACATATGGCAGCGAACAACTGTCTGTAACTCCAGCTCCAGGGGATCTGATGCCCTCTTCTGGCCTCTGCTGGCATTCCATGACATGGGTGCACTTATACATGCAGCCAAAGCACTCATACACATAAAAATAATAATAAAGTAAAACATAAATATATATTCAGAAAGTTATATAAAATTCTTTTAAGGTTCTATTGCTGGAACCTGGAGCCTTCTGCAAGTTCTCTGCTGTTAAGCTACATTCCTGGCCCTCTTCTCTTTCTTTTTCTTTTTTTTTTTTTTTTTTGGTCTTTTTGAGACAAGTTCTCCCTGTAGCCCCCAGCTGGGCTAGAACTCACTATGTAGAGCAGGCTGGCCTTGAACTCACAGCGATCCGCCTGCCTCAGCCTCCAAAGTATCTGGAATTACAGGCCTGTGCCACCAAGAGTAGTTTTTTTCTTAAATCTTTTATATAGGTTCCCCTGTATGCAATTTTTATACATTTGAGTTGTCTGAGACATATGTATAGGGACTATCTCCTAATTGCCAATGTAGCCGAAGATGGAGAGACAAGGGTAGACTTTTTACCAGGTCTCTCCTGGGCTGTAGATGGAGCCAGATTGTCTTAGGCAGCTTTCTGTTGCTCTCATAAACACTGACCAAAACCAATTTGGGGAGGAAAGGGTTTATTTCAACCTTCAGGTAACAGTTCGTCACAGAAGGAAATCATGGCAGGAGTTCAGGGCAGGAACCAAAGTACAGGCCATGAAGGAATGCTTCTTACTAATTTGTTCCCCTGGCCTGTGCTCAGCCTGCTTTCTTATACAACACAGAACTACCTACTCAGGGGTGGCATTACCCACAGTAAGCTGGGCCCTCCCACATCAGTCAACAATCGAGAAAATGCCCCACAGACATGGTCACAGGCCAATCCAGTGGAGGCAATCTTCACTTGAGGCCCCTTCTACCAGGTGTGTCAAGTCGACAACTAAAGCTATCTAGCACACAAAATGTCACGTTCCTCCTCTTCCCCTTAGAGGCAGCAGCATTCTTAGTCAAAGAAACCAGGCTCAGAGAACTGACTTACCCCGCCCAGGAGTCATTTACTGTTCAGTAATTATCCAGCTCTGACTCTATGCCAGGTATGGTGCTACATTCTAGAAATCAAAATCAAAGGCCAGATATGTTGGCTCACCCTGTAATCCCAGCACTTGAGTGGCTGAGGCAGAAGGATCACAGTTTAAGGCTAGCCAGAACTACGAGGCAAGACTTTGTGTCAACAGAAACAAAAAATCCAATGGCATGACAGGGTCCCTACCCTTATGGAACTTAAGCCCCAGGGAGAGACAGAGAAGCACAAAGGAAGGAAGAGAGTAAAGTGAGCACAGATTGTGGAAAGTGCCATCATCACACTCACCCTAGGGCTCAGGAAGAATGAACCCACAAAGGCTGGCCAGGAGGCCTGTGTTTGGGAAGCATGCTTAGCACAAGATCTGAGCGCCCTCGAAACCTGCCTCATTGTGGAATCTCCTCACTGCTCTTTCCCTTAGATCAATAACAAGGCCTGTGGCAAGATCTCCGTGCCCCAGCAAATTGCCCGGGATCAGGACAAAGTCCATGAACTTGTTCTCCAGAGTGAGCTGGGCGCCAAGCTGTTGCAGGGACGAAGCATCAAGAAGGCCTTCCTCTCCCCCAGGACTGCCCTCATCAACTTCCTGGTGCAGGAGTAACCAAGGGGCATCCCTGGTTTGAGGAGCCTCTTTGCCCAGATTGAGGGAAGGAATGTTAGCTAAGGGAAAGGGAAAAGAAAGATATCACAGATGTTGGCTTTTGTGCAGACTAGAAGCAGCAGGAGCCTGTGTGCCCGGACCAGAATGGATGTGGGCAAGGGGAGTGAGGGAGCAAGGGTCATGAATCTGGCCCGTGCCCATCCACCCCTACTCTTGGACTCCAAATGAAACCTCCAGAGATATTGCAAGGAGGAGATGGGAAGCAGCCTTATGCTTTTGCTCCTAGCCATGGTGCTGCCTTGGATGCTTCTCTGGACTCATGCAGACCCAAGGGACCACCTGGGCTCAGGAGCTGCACAGCCATCACATGGGAACCATAACCAAGCCTCCAGGTGGTGGTTGGCTAGGCTCTTGGTCTACAGGATAGATGAGACCATTTCATGTTCAGTGTCCAGCATATGGAACTGAATAGGAGCATTGCAGCCTCTTGAAGTTGCTCTGCACATGTCTTATAGCACCCTTCAGCTATGTCACAAAGGCTTCTCCCTTCCTCCCAACTGGGTGGCCTATCTTGATGTTGACGCACTTGCTCTGGGGTAGGGCTCTACTTCTGGACCTGAACAGAAGGGCTGCATCATAGCCATGGCCTCAGTGTGTAGAGTATGCTGTGTGGTGAGTGGAACCATGCCCTGGGCTGCTGGTCCCCACCCAGAGCCCAGCAGGGGTTTGAGCCACAGATGGCTCACATGGGTCCCAGATGGTAACACCACCATCATCCAGGTTCAGCCCCCATAGTATCACCAGCAAGAGCAAGTTCACCAAAGAGGAGCAGAACGGTTGCTTCCTGGGTGTCACCTCCTGTGTTCAAGCTGCTGCGGTCTAGCTGCTGGGGAGCAGCCCTGAGTGGAGCTATATCACCAGGGAATTAGGCAGTGCTGGTTTTATGTGGGGTCAGTAGTGAGGTGCTCTTGCAGACCTGTTCTGAGCCAATGATTAATGCTTAATAGGGGTGGGGGGACCCAGCTGTTTCAGAATGCTGAAGCTCTGTGTCTGTAATCTGATGTCACCCTGAAGGAGCTGTGATGTGGTCCGCTGCCATTCAGCAGCTGTCAGATGCCTTCTTTGTGTAATAAATGTGTATTACTTTGGGACATATATCTGATCTTGGATGGGTGCAACATTCCAGTTCCAAGAGCTTATTGGGAGCAGACCAAGGTCCTCCACCATCATAGGCCCTGGTTATGTGCTGCCTCCATAGAATGCCTCTGGTCCATCAGCCTGTGTCCACACTCCACACAAACAACACTGATTCAGGCCCATGAACATGCAGCTCAAGCATCGGGCCTTGAACTCGGCACTATGCCTGGTCCCCACACCCAGAAATTCCAGTTTTACTGTTCTGGGGTGTAGCCATCATCAAGGATCTTAAATTTTTTTACATGTGGGCCTGCTGGGGGTGCAACTCAGTGATAAAGTGTAAACCTGGCATGGCAAAGCCCTGGGTTCTGTCCCCAACATCATAAAAAGCAAAGAAAACTACCAGTGAAGCTGGGCATGTTGGCATGCCCCAGTAAATCCCAGCACTTGGGAGACCAAGGCAGAAGAATCGAGTTCAAGACCATCCTGGGCTACATGAGCCCCTGTCTCAAAGAAAAACAAACTACCAGTGATCTTAATGGACAACAAAGTTTGAACACCACTGGATTCATTAATGTTTTTGAACCATAATTTCTATCCAATTTTTCCTCCTTAATCTTGAGCTTAACTGGGATGAATTTGACCCAGGGTTGACATGAGAAAATGGAGTTGGGAGAGATTAGGACTGGTAGGGAAGGCAGGGCCACAACTCTAAAGAGGCATTCAAGAGGGTCCCCGAGCTGACACAGGTGATAGTCACATGGCACATGGGAGCAGATGAGGATGCAGTGAGCACTTTCGATTGCCTTATGTTTTCCTCAAATGAGCTCAGCAGCCTTGAAGAACTGGGGGGTAGGGTGTCCTTTAGCTGGGCGTTATCTGCCCAGAGCAGTGGACCAGTAAAGTCTAGGCTGCTGGACTGACACTGGGTATTGGAGAACATTCTTTCTGAGAGGAAACTTGAAAACAGGCTCATTTGTACTTCCAAGGAGGCAACTATCAGACAGAAAACTCCCTACGGGTGAGTGAGTGGGGTGGGGTGTGATCTGAGTCAGAAACATTACCTCATGTAGTTTCCATCAAAACCCCAGAGGGAAGGGAAGGAGTTATTCTCACAAATAACAAGAAACCCAGACTCTGAGGCTCAATAACTTGCCTAGTTTTCACAGCTAGTTGTTAGAATGTAAACCCACATCAGGCTGCTCTGCTCTGTCACCTGGCCCTCACCTAAGTGCCCACCTGGCTTGATGTCAACTAATAGCCTCTCCAGCAGTCTGGCCAGGGCTCCCCTAGTGAGAAATTGGTCAGCTTGTAAGTCTGGTAAACCACAGCCATGGTGCCCATTCTACTGGGGCATGTGGTTGGTGAAAGGCCAAAGGCCTGGGCTTGGTTCTGTAGGGCTGGGGTAAAGGTGGTCAGCTCCTGGATGATCCAGGCTTGGCATGGATGACAGGTTATTTCTGTTGGAGAAATGGGTGAAGAGAATTTGTGAGCAAGGAGAGGAATCCAAGACAAAAATGCTAAGTGAGGTGAGAAATTGCCCAGGCCTTCCTCACCTCAACTGGAATAGATGCCTTCAGAAAACAGGTCATTCAAAATATGAGTGTCTAGTCCATGGAAGACAAGGCAGCCAAGTGAAGACAGTTTTTTAATCATGACATAGAAATGTTCTCATGAGCTAGGCATGGTGGCACACACCTTTAGTCCCAGCACTCAGGAGGCAGAGGCAGGCAGATCTCTGTGAGTTCAAGGCCAGCCTGCCTCTGCCTCCCAAGTGCTGGGATTAAAGGCGTGTGCCACTTCACCCGACCTAATAATGCAGAAATTTTAATAGTAGAGTATTTCAATAATAAAGTATTTTCTCTATTACTGTATTTCAAGTATTTCAATAATAGGGAAAATGTCACTATGGACTGTGTCAGCCCAGTGCGATGGTGCACACCTATAATCCCAGCACTGGGAGGCTGAGGTAGGAGGATGGAGAAGCCAGCCGAGCTACTAAATGAGATCTTGTTAGAGAGAAAAGCAACCATACAATGTAAAGACACATGTGAGTTAGGCACCTGACCCCCTGTTTTTCCCCCCGTTGTGCATGATGTCTGGCTTTCTGGAAGATGGGTACAGTTGGAAATGTTCCTTCCCTGTGTGGAATGAAATCCAGAGTAGCCTGGATGTCAGCATTGGCCTGGGCCCTGGGTCTGGGGAGGCCAGGAGGCTTCTCCCTACCCAGCCTTGTAATCTTTAGAAGGTGCTCCTGTTCCCCAGTGGGCAAGTCCCTCCTGCCCATCTGCCAGCAGAGTCAAGGTTGTAAATGAGACCAGACGGAAAGCCCCTAGCCTGCCAAGACTGGTGCCCTGTGACTAGCCCACAACAGTGTGATGCACTATCTTGAAAAATGCACATCCACCATATGCATCCCACTTACATGGCATCCTCCACACTTTGCAGGAGCCTGGTGCTGCCTCAGGAGCATGGGTGGAAATGCTTCTGAGTGGAGATCAGCCACACCCTGTAGCTCATGGGAAGGTCGAGGAGGGGTGGTAAGAGCTTGTACTGCTCTCTCTCTCAGAATAGCGAGCAGAAAACAGTTGCTTCATGGACTCGGCCTGCCTGATACACGGAGTGGGCAGCCAAAGGCTCATATCCAGGCTGATAAGTTTAGAAAATGGAATCCATGGTGACCAACAGTGAACAAGTGGGGATTCCCCTGGATGTGGTGGTGGGGGGGCGCTGGCAGGGCAGCTGAGGACAAGACAGTCCTGAGGCAGACGTCAGATCCAAGACTGAGGCCAGTGATGGCCCGGAGGAGACTTTGCTGCGTGCCTACACCCTAGGCTGCATTTTGGGGGAGTGTATGGGATAGGGGGAAGGTGGAGGAATAATCAGGCCCTGGAGGGAGCAGGAGGCCAAGCCTACTGGAACTCAGCACCTATGACTCACATCCCTGGCCCTCACACCCAGAACTGAATTCCAGTTTTTCTTTGGCCTCTGCCTGCCTTCTATCCTGTGTCCCCAAGCTACTCTAGGGCTTGCCATGCCCACTTTTCCCAACCTGTGACTAAATTAGTTGGTTACTGTTAATACGCACCTGGCTGGACACACCTGAACCTGGAACTGACCAATCTAAAGAGCCCTGTGGGCACCATCACCAGGACCCAGACTGCTGGGGAAAGCTCTTGGAAGGGGGAAAGCCTAGAAGCTGGATGTGGCCTCCTAGCAGTTCTTCTAGAGACTTCCTCTGGACGTCCCTTCAACAGACACTGAAGGAGCCCATCTGGCATTCCGAAGGGATGGACCACCTCAGAACCAGGAGACTGGATCCCAAAAGAAGGATGTCCTTCTATAGGCCTGTTAGGCAGGGAGTGGGAAGTGGTGTGGAAAGAGAAGCAGACCACAAAGGATGACATCATTCTTCAGGGTAGGGGCAAGCCCTTTCCACTAGAAAAGCCCAGAGGGGTTTTGTCAAGTGGCATTGGGCAGGACTCCCTGCTACAGTAAAGGTCAAAAGCAGGCTGAGTGTGTGTATTACCCAGTCTCCCAGCATCTCCATCCTACTTCTTGGTTGTCAGTGAAGTGACTGTTATTTGCAGGAAATGGCTTAGTTGTCTGTTAATATTTTAATTAACTAAAAAATACCTTACCTTAATCATCAGCGAAGTCATCAGCAAACATCTAGGTATCAGCTCCCCTCTGTTGCGGTTAACGCATTTAGTACCCATGACTCTGTAGTTGTACTGACACCTAGATCTGCTCATGCTTCCTTTATCAGTTATCCTCAGACTAAAGACGTTGGCATCTGTGGGCTGGAGACATGACTCAGTGGTTAAGAGTGCTTGCCACTCTTGCAGAGGACCTGAATTTAGTTCCCAGCATCCATGTTGAGCAGCTCACAACTCCAGCTCCAGGGAATCCAATGCTCTCTCTCTTCTGGCTTCTGTGAGCACCTATACTCCTGTGCATGCGCACACACACACAATTAAAAAAAAAAAATGTTGGCATCATCACCTGATAATGTGCTGTGACAATAAAACCCCAAACTCCAGTGTCTCACACAGCAAAGTATCTATCACTCCCATCAGTCTAATCCTCTGGAGGAGGGAATGGAGTGGGAGGCTCTGTTCCATGAGTTCCAATGCACTAAAGGGTCTGGGGTCCTGGAAACTACTATCTGCAAGCCCCTTTGAGGTTGCTCAAGATATCAGAGAGGCCTGCATTGGAGGGGAGAGGCCAAGAATCAGGCGGAGGTTGAAGACCAGATCTCAAAGTGCACACAGCACTTCTGCCCACTTCCTCTTGGCCAGAGTTCAGTCACCCGGCCCCAGCTGGTTGCATCCAACTGTGTAGCAACTCCCAGGAACAGCCCTGCACAGGAGAGAAGGACCCCAGCCCTACACAGGAGACAGGGACCCTATCCCAGCCCTGTACAGGAAAGAAGGACCCCAGCCTTCTTTCTGGCCACACTTGATTTTCTAAGTCTTGCTTGTCAGTATCCTTCTTAGGGAATCTGTTATGTTTTACCAACACCTCCTGAGTAACAGCTGTGTACCTTCCAAATCTGTGAAAGTTGCTAACTGTGGTCGGAAATCACTGCATAATCCTTTGCTGTCTGCCAGACAGGGCTGCCCGCCCTGCTCTCTGGCCTGGACCCCATTCCTTACCCAACAGAGGTGTGGGACACAATGTTCTTTGTCCTGATATTGGCACCAAGGATTTGTTCTTTGGTCCCCAATCCTCCCCACCCCCTGCCTTCTATGAGACCCATACATTGGTTTCTGGAGATAATATGGGATATTTTGTTGATTTAGAGGTGTTGGGAATTTTGAAGTAGAGAGAAATAGTCTTCCCAGATGCCCTGCAGGGAAACTGGGGGATCCTTCAGATTCCTACTCTACAAGGACATGGCTGTCATGCAGGGTGGAAGTGGGACAAGTCTCTGACTGCCTCTCTGTGTTCTGGTCTCAACACATACATGGTCACATCATACTCATATACATACACTACCCCACATACCATATA